AAGACGGAGCTTCGCCTGCAAAGACTCGTCCCGCTGAAGACAGAGGGTCCCACACACAAGCACCGATACCAGCGACGCCGCTCTCCCATGACCCGTCAGTCCAGATCAAAATGGGATCGGGGGCGAACAAGCATGACAGAAGTCGTGGCGGGGACCCTTCAAGGATCTCACGAGTTCGTCTTGCCAGCTCCTTCAGCTTTGCAAATGCCAGAGTCCCTCTCCATTCAAGAAGTTCAAGGAGATCGTAGCACACGTGCTTCAACGATCGCCCTGCTAAAAATCCCGCAGCGAAGTTCAGCAAACCATGCAAGACTTGAATCTGATGTCTCGTTATGGCTTCCGGGGCGTCTACCTCCTCAAAAGCTTCCAAGATCTTCTCTGCGCGGCCAGGTTTGTTACGAAGGGTCACCAAGCCCTGGCGCACCTGAGACAAATCCAGTGTCATGCCCAGCACATCAAACGATGATGCACACGGCTTGCCCTTCTGGCCAGTTTTGGCGTGGTCCCATCCCAACATGGATAAGAACTGGCTCACCATGTCGTCTGCATCCTTTGAACCCTCGCAAGGAGTGAAGATGGGGTAATCGTCAAAGTACACCGCGGAAGGAACTTTTAGACACCTGTTGATTAAGAACCAAAGGCACCTACTCACCCGTATGAAACCGTACACTGCTGCCGTGGCGCCAAACATCAGGGAGTTAGGAAGAAAGAACTTTTCCTTCCCATCTGGCCCCCTGAAGTACGTGACGCAAAGGTCGCGATGGGAGGGGTGCAGTGCCATCTGTTTATAAGCCTTAGTTAGATCCAAACACTTACCAACCCAATCCCCCGAACCAAAACGCTGACGCCCTTCTTTAACTCGTTTGGCGATGAAGAGGGCAACACTTGCAATGTAGTCAGCATTGTGAAGCTCGAGGCGAATGGTGGCGCTGTAAGCGGCATTGGTCTGAGACTGGCACGCGTCATCGATTGGACGCTGCTTCGAACCTTGGTCAAGAAGAAAACGTCTGATAACACACCAGTGCTCGTG